ATTGAGCACCCCTCGTTTCCTCTCCATGCCTACCTTCTCCTTTCCCCGACTTCCTCTCCTGCCCCCATCTCTCCTGTCTCCATCTTAAACCTGCTGGCAGGATCAGCCCTCAGGAAGCTGTCAGGCAGGTGAGGTCTGTGGCTCCTCTCCTCGTGTCCGTTGCCCACCCTCCTTCATGGGTACCTCTCTCCCACCTGCAGCTGCCCCCCACCAGCGTGGGCCTTCTCTGTGGGCAGGATCCAGGCTCAGGCACCTAAGATGATTGTAGGGAAGTTGGGAATTGGGTCTGGAGGGAAAATTGTAAGAAAGGCAGGGCTGCCAGGTCATAGAGAATAGGTCATTCGGGGCATCCTTTAGCACCCAGGACCCAGCTTCTTGCCTTTCCCATAGGAGTCAGCGCTGCCATTGTAGGAACTTAGCCTCTTTCTTCTTGCTACTGGATGCCTCCTCCCCACCGCCCTGATCCCACAGTATCTGACTCCGCCCCACCCCCACTCCTCTCTCCTTCCTGGCTTCTGCTTCTTTGTGTAATAAACTGCCAGGTCCCAGGCCAGCATCGCCCCAGCCCACCTGGTGTGCACCCCCCCTTGCTCCTTTTCCTCCACTGCCCCTCCTCATCCTGGCAGCCTGCAAAGCTCAGCTCAGCCGGACCCCACCACTACCTTGTTCCCCAGAAGCCCCCCCCCCCAGGTCTCCACCACCCTGGTGGCAAATGATCACATACTCCACAGTGGTATTTTCCACGTGACTCCCCAGCCAGATTACAAACTGCTTGAGGGTAGGAGCTGTGTCTTAAACTCAGAGACCCAATCTACAAGGACCCAGGAGAACAGCTTCTTTTGTTAGAAGCCAGATATTCCCCTCCCTCTTCCCACCATCGTCCATGCATCCCAGTCCATTCTATCCACCTAAACTCATAGGAGAAGAAATCCTGAATACATTGAACAGCGATGCGACCACAATGCGACTTAGGCACCTGCTGTATGCTGAGTACTGGGGGTGCCCTGGTGAGTGGTGATAGACCAAGAGTCCCTGTTTTCCTGGGTCTTAGAGTCAGGGCGAGGGGAGAGATTCATCAAACACTCACGTGAATGAATCTAGCATTGCATCACTACGAAGGTGAGATCTCTGGAGGAATGGGGCCTTGCTCATGAAAGATAAAGCATGGTTTGGTTGGTCAGGGGAAGTGACACTTGGCTGAGACCTGAAGGATGAACAGGCCTTGAGGGGGCATGCAGGGAGCATCCCAGAGGGGTCAGCATCTGAGTCCCAGCCATTCCACAGAAAGCTCTATCTCTTATACTTGCAGCTGTAATAACCATGTAATTTATTGCTTGAATAGGATATTTTTGAGAGTAAAAGTGGGAGCTGTTAATAATTTCTCTGGGCCAATAGGTGTCAGTGTCTGGGCAAATCAGGCGCCTGGTTGCATGAATTAAGAGTGACAATCTTCCTGCTCCCTGTCCCTCTAGCAATGAAAGGAACTTCAACCCCTGGTCAGAGCTGCCGGAAGCCTGAGCTTTCGCCTGCCCTTGGACAAGGGAGAAGGCAGAGGATGCACTCCAGGAACGAGGTGGGGGGGGGGCGGAAAGTTTGGGTTCCTGTGGCTTCTTTGAATTTCTTTCACTCTACCTCCTTGTGCAAGGGTGGCTTGATTTGTACTTGGGGGTATAGGTAGGGCCTGATGGAGTGTGTGTGTGTGCATAAGAGAGAGAGAGAGAGAAACCTGTTTCTCTCTGCTCCTCTGTCTGTCTGACTCTCAAGACTATTAATACAAACCCCACGTCTGGCTGAGCCACCAGAACATGAGCTCCCCACAGCAGAATGCCACCCCTCCCAGCTGAGCTTGTTGTCTGTTCTGTTTCTGATCGGCGCCAGGCTCATAGACCCCATGTAGGTAGAATATAACTTTCCATAAATAACCCCTAGCCCGACCTACAATTTAGGCTTTGGGTTTTTTTCCCCTCGTGGTAATGGGATTATAGCCTGGGCTGATCCCTCCTGGGTCTCGGGGTCCCAGAAAGTAGACCCTAGGTGTACCTGGGGTTGGGCATTGTTTGGGATGCCCAGTTCCCCACCCCCCTGTGCTGCCTGGCACATGGCGAGGACTCAGTACATGTTGAGGAATGCGGCCGATCGAGCCTCATGCCCCCACGAACACAGCCGTGCACCTTCAGCCCCAGTGTCTTTGCTTGGGCCACACCCCCTGCTTAGAACCCTGTGCCACCTTCTCCACCAGGCGAACTCTAAGCAACACCCACCTCTGTGAAACCTTCCCGAAGAGTTTCCCCTCATTCTTACCACAAAGTGAATTACTCCTGCGCTTGATCCCCTAACACTCTGTACAGACAATGTGACCTGATGACTTGCCCACATGCCCACCAGGTTCTGAGCAGCTCGAGTGAGCGTCAGAACAGGAACTGATCCCACATCGGGCTGTGGGCGAACATTTAACCCCTGGGTGCCCCAGTTTCCTTAGATCCAAACACAAGCCTGGCTCCAGAGCTCATGTCCCCATCCTTTGTACCACATGGCCTCTGGGGGCTGGGCCATGTATCCATTTCCTACCTGTTCTCATTCCCAGCTCTGAGACACTCCTCTCGGTGCGTGGATTCCCTAAGGCTCTCGCTGGGGCCTCCTGGGGGCCTAGAGACACAACACCCACTGACAACTATCAGAAACTTGCCGGTGATGATAAGGAATTTAGGAGGATTCATTGGGAGTTAAAGTGAAAAGGCTTCGGGGCTGGGGAGGGCTTTGGGGTGGGGTTACCCCAAGAGGGGCTGGACTGGATTCAAAGCTTTGACTCATCTCTCCCTGTGGCGATTGAAGAGTATTTCTTGCGTGTCAGCCGTGAGACACCTTGGTGAGACAAGACCGAGAGAAGGACAAGACATTGTCCCTGTTCGTGATCTTACATTTTCACCGGGGAGGCATACAATTCACTTTTGGGAAAACACTTGACGGAGCCGCCTGGGAGCTGGAACTGAGTTGTACGTGGCTTGTGTCAGTCTCAGCACTGAGCAGGGCTTGGCCAGGTGAGACACACGATCCACGAACGAATATTGAATGGAAGACGTAGAATCAGAAACCGAGGTCGTGGCACGGACAAAGGGGCTGGGGCATCTGAGGAGAGCTCAGCAGGGATTGCAACATCCCTGGAAGGTTCAGGCTCCGAGGTGACAAGGAACGTGAACCCTAAAGCAAGAGCAGGAGTCGTTGGGGGTGGTCTGTAGGCATGGGGGTAAACTAAGTCAGGGACGAGTGTAGCAGGAGAGCGTGGCCCCTTGGGCATCAGGAAGGAAGTTTGGTAGAGCGGGGTGGGGGTGGGGCTGGGAAGCAAGCAGGGGAAGGCCCCTCACGTCAGGGTGAGAAGCCAGAACTCAATCCTGGGCAAGGAGGAGCTGTGGAAGGATTGCGAGCAGGGGTGTGGCACGATGAGAACGGTGTTTCTGGAAGACAGTGTGGAGGGCTGGCTGCTTGAGGGAGACCAGGCTGAAGTTATGACAACAGCCGCGGCGAAGGAATGAGGTCTAGGTTTGGAAGGGAAGGGACAGACGGGACTTTTCAAAGGGAGGACATAATTGCCACAAGGGCCCCCGCGGCCCAGTCAAAGGTGCCTCCGAGGTCGAGGTCCTAGTGACCAAGAGAAGGATGTTAACTTTGACAGAATGACTGTGTGTGGTTGACAAAATGAGACCACATCCTCTCGGAAATGATTCATTGTCTTTATTAACAATGCCTCTGGACTCGGAAAGAACAGACTGGTATTTCATAAAGCAATATTAACGTTGTCATTTCTCTACAAGAAAAAACTTTTGCATAAATAACTTAAGTGAGAAAATAAATATGTAACTTAACTCTTTTTAAGAACCACGGCTTTCATTCTTGTGGACAAATCCCACATGAAAGGATTGCAAAACATGGCCAGCCCGGCAGGCTTTCACGTGGTATGTGCTTCTGTTTAAAAAAAAAAAAAAAAGTTTCTTTTTTCTTTTAACAGTTAAAAACTACACAGAAAGTAAGAGGTGTCTGGAAATGACTCTCAGAAAGATTCTTGGATGACAGCTAACTGGTCTTGCGGTTTTCTCAGCATATGTACAGGACTTGTAATTTTTCCCCAAGTAGTAGTATTTTAACGTAAGGTGCGCCGTCACAGGTAACAGCAGTAAGAAGCTTCTAGACAGAATCGTGTCTGTAAGCGGTAGGCGGGAGGAGGTGCCTGCAAAGGGATCCGCTGGTCTTCGAATGGGTGCTGGCTGCTCCCTTGGGCCTGCGAGCCCAGTGTCCTGGGACCTTGAGCTTCTCTGCAGAAGGTGACTATAAAATATGGCCGTGGTGGGGGGTGCTGTTCTTTCAGAATAGGGGGGTGATTTCTGTCCGCGCTCTACTCCCTGCCCTAGCCCCCCACCCGGCCTCCCCTCCCCCGCCAGCCTTGGGACCTTCTCCTTCTCTATCCCAACTGGTGGATTTGTTTCTGCATCCTTTGAGGTGGAGGGGTCGAGGTAGGGAAACATCTGGGGAGGCCAGGCTGGAAAGAACACAGCTTCTTCCAGGATTTTGTCAGCCATAAAAAAGACTCACCCCCCCCCACCACCACCACCACACATGTTTTTCATCTTTGGTTGTCAGATCAGAGGATTACAACTCTGAATTCTGGAGGTGATCATGGCAGTAATCCAATCCAACCTCTCTCTCTCTCCTTTGCCCATTCAAAAGGCACCCAAGGCCTTGGAATCATGTGACAGTAGATTCCTCGAGATACAAATCCCAGCCCCACCTTCATTTTCCAAAGAGGAAATGGAGGACAGACTCGGGACAGAAAGAGAAGAGTGCGGTCCAAGGTCATCCAGCAAGTTAGTGGCAGAGTCCGGACTGAGAACCCTATCTACGGACCCCAGTCCTGTGTTCTTGGCACAACAAGGCACTAAAGGCTTTATGAGGGGCAGAGGAGTGGGGGAGGAATCTTATCGAACTTTCTTAACCAGTCCCCGGACTCTTCTCATTCCCCACCGCTCCCTTAGAACCCCTGGGCGGTGAAAGGCTTTGCTTTCCTGCCTCCCTCTGAAGTGGGACCAGCAAAGGTGGGCGGCCCCGGGGGGCGGGGCTGCGTGGCTCAGTGTGTGTGACTCTCAGCGCCCTCCCCTGCCCGGCGGGACCCCCTCGGACGCGGGGCAGTGGGGGCGGGGGCTCTTCTGGCCCTCCCCGCCCCGGGATCCGCAGGGCCTGGCCGCCTCCTGCCGAAGCCCGGGAGGTCTCCGCCCCCCGCCCGGGGTTGCAGACATTTACAATGAGATACAAACGATCGGACCGCGCGCAGAGGGCAGAACCCGGGGCGCCTGGGCCGGGGCGCGGGTCGGGGAGCGCGGCGCGGCGGGCGGCCTCTAATAGGCGTTCTCCAGCTCGGCCTGGTTGGCTTTGGCGCCCCGGGCGCGGGGCCGCGGCTTTCGGCCCTTCTGCGGCCGCGCGGCCTCGGGCCCGAAGTCCTTGAGCTCGGACTGGTTGTGGGAGCGGGTGAGGCGCTTGCACTTGCAGGAGGCCACCAGGCGCACTTTGCGCGCGCGCGGCGCTGCGCCCCCGGGGCACAGCAGCTGCACCCGCTGCGCGCGGTAGCGGTCGGGGATGCAGCGCAGGTCGGGCCCGCTCGGGCGCCACCACTTGCCGCGGCCGATGGCGTTGGGCAGCAGGCGCGCCGGGCCGCACTGGCCCGAGCACACCAGCTCGGTGACCGGCTTGGCGCTGCGGCAGGGCCCGTCCGTCACGTAGCGGGTGAAGTGCAGCTCGCGGCAGCTGTACTCGGACACGTCTGCGGAGAGAGGGCGCGTTGAGACCAGCCCGGCTCCCTGCACGCCACCACGCCACGCCCCGGCCTTTTCCAAACCTGCCCCTTTCCAGATGCGTTTGCCCCTGGGGATCTCTTCCGGGAAGGGCCCGGGTATCCTGGGGCGGGTGGAAAGACCCCTGGCCCACCCTTTCGCCGCTAAAACTCTGGAGCCGAGTGTCGGTTGCGGTTCAAATACCAGCTCCAACGCTGTGTGATCTTGGGCAAATCATTTAACCTCTCTGTGCTTCCTATCTGTAAAATGCGTGGTCCTAAGGAGTTAGTGAGTGAATCCATTGCATACATAATGCAGGGGACACGGTGAGCACATAGGAAGAGCTGAAGTATAGGCTGTTGTTATGTGTTCTTCTTCTTCTCCAAGGGGGGCTTTTTCTCCCCCATATAACTTACATAACAGAATGCCTGGTCTAGGCAGAGTAGGTACTTGCCACACCCTTTGCATGGCCTTGGCTTCTCCTAAAGTCTTTTTCCAGCCACTTGGGAGGGATGGCGAGGGATGGAGAAAGGAGTAGGGGTTAATTGAAGGTAATAAATCAGGGCAGCTGCTGTGGAGGAGAGAGATGGAAGCGGAGGTGGGGAGGAGAAGTCATTAGACTTGAAAAGAGCCAAACGCTGCTTGTCCAGCCCCCTCATCATCAGTGAGGACCAGGAGGCCTAGAGAGGGAAAAGCACTTGCCCAAAAGGCAGAGCTGGGCGTCCTCACTCCACTTTCCTGGGGCCCCGGCGCCTCTGGGTTCCCATAAGGGTGGACGCTGTTTGCCTGAGCACCCCTGTGGGAGGCTGCGCTGGGGGTGGGGGCAAAGGGCTGCCTCTTACTGCAGTGACTTCCCTACCAGAGGGGACGGAGCTCTGCCTGAAAACCTACAGGTTCAGCTGCCACAAACACTTATTAAACAGCTGCTGTGTACCAGGCACGCTGCTGGGCACATCTCTTGTTTTGTGCCGTTTTAATGGATCCCGGATGGTGACCCAGCCTTGCTCCTGGGTTGGGGCGGGGGGGATTGGGCTCTGAGGCCTGGCTTGGTCCCCTGAAGACACCGCAATCAACTCTCCTACTGTGGGCTTAAACAGGTGGGAGCTTTTTAAACAGCTGGTCCTCATGTGAGCACCTGTCCGTCACCCAAGGAGATGAAAAATAGTCCTGGGACCAGAAGCAGAGAGAGGGCAGAGCAGGCCAGGCCTCCACTCCCCAGGCCTTGGAGAACAAGCATAGCAGGGGAGAGGTGGGTTTGCCTTCCTCCAGTGGCTGAGCTTCTGGTTTCTGGGCTGGCTTGGCATCCTCACCCTGGCTCCCAGGCCGCAGGGGTAGTGTGTGGAGGCGGCCTGTTTGCCCAGGGAAGGAGGCTTTTTGGGCTTTCCAAGAATAGTGCCCCCAGGTCAGGCCCTTCCTCTACAGAAGGTGGCTTTGTTTTGAGCTCACAGTTTCCTTGGGGCCTGTGGCCTCTCGTGGGAGCCCCGGGAGGCGCATATTTTGTACTTGGGCCCCGTAGAGCCCAGGAAGCAGCCCCTTGAGCTTAATCCACTTTGCCTGGGGGGAATGGCAGGGTGGTGAGCTCCTGTCCTCCCTTTTTGAAGACTTGAGGTCCCAGGGCTCCTGTGGGGCTGCCCCCTTTGCCGAGCCCCACATTCCCAGCTGGTTGTGGGGGGCCTGGGCAGGGGACTCCTCTCCCACCCGGACAATGACTGGAGGGCAGTGAGGCCCTCCCTCCGAAGTGTCATTCGGGCCCCACCCCCAGCCGCTCCTGCCGGCTGCCAGGCCAGTTGTGCACATCGCCCCCTAGGCTTCTCCGGGCACACCTGACCAGGCGCCCAGATGTGCCCTCCACCACGGCCCTCGCCTTGTCACGAGGGTCAGGCTCCCTCCTTAGTAATGAGGCAAGGCTGGGTCTCGGGTGGGGACCTGGGGACAGATGGGGCCACCTGTGTCCACTCCCTGCACAGACGATGCTACCTCCCCTCCAGGGCCTGGACCCAAGTTGCTACCCAGGTCGGAGGCTAAAACTCTGCCTACAACTTCCGTGCCTTCCAGTGTCAGCTCACTGGGAAGACTCGGGGCAGTGGGAGTGTCCTCTTCCCGCTGCTTTGTGGGGACTTGCTCTGGCTCTCAGTCCCCAGCACCCCCCACACACTCCCCCACCAGGGCTGTCTTGGAATGGGATCAGACTGGGGTCAAACCTCAGCTCTTTTACTCCCTACCAAGTTACTTAGTGTCTGGAGATTTCTTCACTTTCCAACTGGGAGTGCACCCCTGGGGCTCCCCTGCGGCGGATCCCGGGGGTAGGGTTCAGGTACAGCCTGGGTAGAGCGTCTACCTCCAGCAGGTGCTCACAGATAGGAGGCTCCCTTGTCTGGTCCCCTGTCCAGGGATGCCAGCTGTCGGGCCTGTCTCCTATATTCTCAGGAGGGGATTCTTGGAAACTGTCTCATTTCTGAGGCTCCGAGCCTGTCCCAGAGTTGTATCCTCACCACCTCGGCCTCCTTCCTGCCCCAGGCTCCTGCTGCCAGCCCCCCCGCCAGCCTCATGCCCCCACGCTGGATCGCCAAGGCTATTCAGGCTTGCCACCCTCCCCCTGCCTCCAGGCAAGGCCGCCCCGCCGTTAGAGCTGACAGCGGCGGACGGGCCACCCCAGTCTTCAAAACCTCCCAGAGAGAACCCTCCAGGCCCCTCGTGCGAAAAATGCTCTTCTCTCCCCCATACCTTTGGTCTCAAAAGGATGGTGAGGGGGCCTCCCTCCGTTCTCCGCCCGGTTCATGGTCTTGTTGTTCTCCAGCTCTGGCGGAGGCTCGGGGTACTCGCCCAGCTCGGGGATGATCTCTGTGGCATCGTTCTTGAAGGCCTGCCACCCCTGGCCGTCCACCACACAGAAGGCTGCATGCACCAGCAGGCAGACGAGACACAGAGCGAGAGAGAGCTGCATGGTGCCAGCCAGAGGAGGGCACCCAGCCTTCCAGTAGCACGGGCTCCGGCCTCCAGCCTGGGACACGTTTGCCTTTTTAAAGCCCCCTCTGCCTGATGCCAACCAATGAGGACAGGCTGGGGCAGGGCTGGTCCCATGTTTCTCTCAACCCAGGGGGAGGGAACGGGGTGTGCTCACGGCAAGCCCTCCCCAAAGACTTCCCAGGCACAGCAAACTCCCAAATTGCTGCTGGTGCTCCCAGGTGACCTAGAGGGAGGTGGGTGTGTGAGGCAAGCCTGCCCTCCAGCCCCTCCCACGTGCAGGCGGCTGTGGTTTTCAGATATCAAAATGAGCTCCAGCTTGTAATCTTTACCTCCTTGGGCCCCTTGGGCTTTCTCAAAAACAAACTGTGGACCAGCGTCAGAAAGAAAACGACAGCTCTGAGCCCTCCGCAGGGCTGAGCCCAGCCAAGTCCCTTTCTCAGGCCAAGTTCATTCGTTACCCCACCAACAAATGGCCCAAGGGTCTATCTTTGGCCTCCACAGACCCAGGCAGAGGCAGAAGGAGGCTTTTTAAGAAATGTCATCGGTCCCAGTTCCATGAGGCTCAGCATCAATTATCCTGACCAAGATAGCCCCTTGTTGGCACCCTCTGGAAGGCAAGAGAGAAAACCGAAAGGCCACGGGGAGGGCGTCTGCTTGCACCAGGAGGCGGGGATTCTGGTTACAAGGCCAGGATGAGCAAGTCAACGGTGATGGAGCCCAAGGAAGAAATCTTGGGGCTTCTGTGCACCATGACAAGCACTTCTTGGCCAAGACGCTCACAGCCGCTTGGGGAACTGATGTGCCAAAGGCACTTATTTCCCTGGCTAGGCTGTGGCTAGGAATGGAGAGCACAAAAATCCCTTTTCTTAGCAAAAGCCAAGGCCAGCATTTTTGGTGCTGACGTCCTCTTCTTCTTCTCCCTTTTTTTTTTTTTTTTTTTTTTTTTGGTCTCTCGGACCATTACATTTTTCAAAAAAGAGCTTTGAGTCCTATATGGAAAGCCTTATTGGTGCATGCTATGGGGTGCATTCCATGAAGCCATCCCAGGTCCAGCTAGCCACAAAAAAGCCAAAAGGAATTGCAGCCTTAGCCCTGGAGCAGAACGAGGGGCCTGGGAGGGGTAGGGTACTGGGGAGGAAGGTTCACACCTGAGGTGCAAGAAAAGAAAGGAGAGCCAGCGGAAGCTTTCCCTGCAGATAAAGGAGGAGGCGCACCGGGCTCCTGGCCCCGAAGGAGGCTGGGAAGAGGGCTGTGGCCCAGGTCCCCTTGGTATTTTCACTGGGCAATGAATCAGCACGCCCCACCTGCAGAGCCTCTAGGAGGCACTTGCCACCTGCCTTGACTTGTAAGCCGCGGTGTCCATCTGCAGCCGTCTGTCCCTCCTTTCCACCATCCATCACTCCACACATGAATGCAGCTGCTCTGACAGTTTTACAAGCCAGACAGAAGCCCCTGCAGGAAGGGCCCTCTCTGATACCTGCTTCCTAAGTCAGTTTCCTTCGGGGCAGACGAAAACAGCTGTGGCCATTGTTGGAGGTGATCTATCTCTCCCAACAGAGCCCGTGGGTGTTGTGAGAAGCTGGCCCTCTGCGCCCCCTCCCCCTGTCTCTGACCCTCCAGCCTCCTTTTCCCTCGCTCTGGAATGTGGACCGTTAACCCGATCGTGGCCGGACAACGGCCTTCTTGCCCTGGATTTGGGAGAGGGCGGTTCCGAGGCCGGATTCCTTGAGCTGGCGCGATCGGGACGCTGAAGCCCCACCTGCTGGTGGGGGCTACAGACCCAGCCGCCGGAACCCGAGCCCGTGGGGCTCATCCTCGGAGCATTGCTGCCACCTGCTGGAGGCAGAAGGAAGGGCCTGCGGCCGGAGGACGGCGAAAGGTTTTATTTCATTTCATTGTTTTATTTGGAACTGAAGTCCTTGTTACAAGAAAAAAGAGAAGAATCCAGTGGATTTGAACCTGTGAAGTGTGTCCATCCTTTTGAGTTATTCTCTGCCAAGGTATAGCCTGCTCCTCCCAGAACGACTCACAGAGAACCTGCTATGACGCCATCTGCTTTTTCCTTCATGCTAATCCAGCTTTATATTTTACTCAGTGCGGGAGCTTATCATTGTTCAGAGTTAAAGCCCCAGGGTTTTAGCTGACGTCTGTTGCGGGTACTTTAGGTTATTTCCCATGCTTTCCTATTAGTAGGGACGATATGAACGGATTCCTTGTACAAAGTAATTTTTTTTAAGATATATGTTTGCTTTTTGCTCTTTTTTTAAACATTTTTTATTGTTATGTTAATCCCCATACATTACATCATTAGTTTTAGATAACAAAGTAATTTTTTGAGTCAAACTGCGATCATTGTAAATTCACATGTACTTGTAAGGAATAAAACAGGGCAGGGGTGCCTGGGTGGCTCAGATGGTTAAGCATCTGCCTGCGGCTCAGGTCATGATCTCGGGGTCCTGGGATCGAGTCCCGCATCGGGCTCCCTGCTTGGTGGGGAGCCTGCTTCTCCCTCTACCTCTACTGTTCCCTCTGCTTGTGCTCTCTTGCTCTCTCTGTCAAATAAATAAATAAAATCTTTTTAAAAATAAAATAAAATAAAATAAAATAACAGGGCAAATTCCATGTACTCTTTGCCCAGTTCTCTCAATGGTAGCATCTTGCAAAACTATAG